CAGCCACTAGGCAGGTAACTGTTTCGAACTTGACTACTCTAGCTCTTGGAGCATAAAGCCCAACCTTACCTGAGACTTACTTGCTTGCCCGATTCTTGAGGCCTACTCGACCATCCTGAAGGAGTGTTTACATTAGTCTTCACCAACCTTAAGTCAGCTTTAGTACATTGTGTACTAGTGGTAATCAAAGATTATGAGTGCGTTCAACGCCGTCACTTTAATATATAATTTTTTATATTAACCTTATGATTTCACTAGCTGACTTTCAACCTGTGTTGATTGCTAAAATCAACATTAATTTTTTCATCAACAACGGAGGTTTTACAGACAGATAAAAATCATATATCATAGTGTCAAAGTCCATGCTAGTCAGCTGTATAAAATACGATTTGTTGATACAATGTGTGACAGCACCTGTTTCCATAGACTCACAAATATTTACATTAGGCTTCTAATTTCGTGTTAAATATTTTTACATAAACTAGTAATGTTTAAGCATAAAACCTTATTTGTAAAAGTATATTTTTTACGTACATTATTCTAAGCTGGAAGCACAAATTTAAACAATCATTTACAATGGCGTGCGAGTTTATTGTAAACAAACTCCATACAACTGATTCCAATGAGCGATTTTACAACACCGGGCTAGTTATTAACACATCCCTCAACGCTTCTAAGAATGAAGCATATAGAAACAAAAGAAACAATTCAAATTCGATGAGATGCAAATGAGTGATCCGATATTCTTCAATCAAGCCTGGACCTAATGCCTTCAGAATACTTTTTCACCGACAATAACTGACCGGATAAAGACTAGACTATTTGTCACAACTGGAACTAATCAACAAAATAATGCAGCCAATCAAACTATAACTGTTCGAGACCACAGTTAGCATCCCAAACCCAAGGCGATTCAAAGTCATGTTCGTGAACATACATGTATAAAATTAACTACAAACCATGAGGTAATCTTTAGATATCTGCTTTACAATGCTCAGACTTGCTCATACTACAACAAAAATCACGACACAATGTGCATGATAGTCTTTTGCGCATATGACATATGATGTCATTTAAAATGGAGCAGAAAATGCAGATGTTCAATAAAAACATGTCAAAAGAGGT